CTTATTTAATACAAGTATAATGATTAAATATAAAATTGAAATAAACAGTTGTAGCTAATAATAGGTTAGAGTCCAATATAGTCTCTTTGTATTTATTTTCTAAAATATACTACATAATCAACTAACTAAAAAATCATTAAACTATTACTTTTTGAAATAAACGGGCCGGGCGGACTAGTCCACGGTACATATTGTCTTGTCCGTGTCCGCCCATTTATATTAGCGGGTCGAGCCTAGCCCGCCCAAATTTTCAATTTTTTCAAAATGGTTGTCCAAGCCCGCTTATTTTGCGGGCCGGGTTGGGCGGGTTGACCCGTCCATGAACAGCTCTAATCTATATATCTTTTGTTGTAACACCCCGACACCAAACAAATTAAGGAGGGACCTATTGTCACGAAATGCGCATCAAGGGCAACAACTGTCCTCACAGACTACACGTCCTTTCGGCGCATTTTGTCCTCATTCATGCGCACTCCGAGAAAACTTCCCAGGAGGTCACTCATCCCAAGACTACGCCAAACCAAGCACGCTTAACTGTGGAGTATTTTAGCTTATGAGATCCCTAAAAGGAAGATGCATCTTGTTGATATGAGTAGTATATCAAATCCTTTTAAAGCAATCATGAGGGGTATTACACTTGTTCTCCTATGCAAAATCTATCTTTAATTTATTGTCAAACTAGGATCAAATGAATCATGATCTGGTGTACTGGGAAAAAAACAAAGGTCTATTTTATCTCACGTGTATTTAACTTGTGTTAGTGGCTTATGTACTATGCTACTTACAATCTCTCTTCTTAAGCTTATATTATGCTTCCTTGTTTTTTCTTCTTAAAACCAGCTTATGCTTCCTTAATAGAAACATTTAGAGGGAAATCTTATGTGAACAAGATAATATCCTTATTTATAACAATTTCAGTATGACTATAATTGAATGGTGCTTCTTCCTAATGCAACAACAACTAAAAGTTTGTAAATTCAAAGGTTCAAATAAATAACTTTCAACTATATATGGCTCACTATATCGCGCGCATCGCGTGCGTGGGCTCCCCTAGTTCCAATAAAAAAAAGGAAGGATTATAGTTACTCCCTCCGTATTTTTTAAAGTAAAATGTTTTGCTTTTTTGTATTATCAACCTACCTTGAAGGGCAGAAGAGATGGAGGGAAGCAGAATGGCTCGGTGGTGGAGGAGCCTCAGGGCAGTGGCATGGAGTTTCTTAGGGCTGTGGCGTGGTGAACCTCAGGGCGGTGGCGCGGCTTCAACACCTTGACAGAGCCTCTAATTAAGAGGGAAACTAAGAGAGGTGGAGGGGGTTGAGGGGAGAAAGAGAAGGACAGGGGAGAAAGAGAAGGGCAGTGAGGGTTTCGAACCTCCGCCGTTGAATGTGGCGGCTAGAGGTGTCCACCGTGCGAGTCGTGCGAGCTGGGTTAGGGTTAGGTGGGTCGCGGGTTGGGGTTTCATGACACACGGCACGACACACGTAGGGTAGGGTGGGCCGGGTCGTGGGTTGGGTCGGAGAAGTTGGACACACCAGGGTTAGGTTCGTGGGTTAGACGAGTCGTGGGTGGGTCGAGCTGGGTTTGTGGGTTAGACGGATCGTGGGTGGGTCGAGCTGGGTTTGTGGGTTAGACGGGTCATGGGTGGGTCGAGCTAGGTTCGTGGGTTAGACGGGTCAAGGTGGGTTAGTGAGTTAGGGTGGGTCGAAGGGTGGGTTAGTGGGTTAGGGTCGGGTGGGTTTGTGGGTTAGGTGGGTTAGGGTCGGGTGGGTTAGTGGGTTAGGGTCGGGTGGGTTTGTGGGTTAGGTGGGTTAGGGTCGGGTGGGTTTGTGGGTTAGGGTCGGGTGGGTTCGTGGGTTAGGGTCGGGTGGGTTGTGTGGTGTTTTAATTTTTACAAAATTAACAATTTGATGGCTTGCTCTTATATTAAGATGCCTACGTATCCTTATATTATAAAATAAGGAATCAAAGCCAGCGTAGTTCTTATATTGTACTTCTTTTGAAATTTGGGGGGGGGGGGGGCTTGGACCTATCTTTAGAAAACTAAAATTTAATTTTGCAATTAAATTGTAATTTTCGAAAAATAAGTTGCCTACGTATCCCGAAAGAATCAAAGCCCACGTAGTTCTTAGCGTACCTGATTTAGACTTTTCTAGCCACCCATGTTTGTTGCATCATCATCCCCGGAAGCTGCATCATCCGTTGACGACTCCAATATCATCACAGGATCATCTTCATCGTCTTCGTCTTCCTTTAAACCTTGAGTTCTTCTTTCAGCTTGATCCCAATCTTTCTTACAAACACAAATTTGAATGCTTTCCGGAGTTAAGCGAGATCTTTTTTCATCTAACACTCTTCTACCTGCACTAAAAGCAGACTCGGAAGCAACAGATGAAGCGGGAACTGCAAGTATATCTTTTGCAATTCTCGCCAATATAGGAAAACTTTTTTTATGTTCTTGCCACCATTTTATAATTTGAAAGTTGTTGTTGGTCTCATGTTGATATGACAAATAATCATTAATAGCAAGTGTTGAAGAAGATGATGATGAGAATGATGTAGATGCTTTGTGTTTTTTTTCATAACTTTATCAAGAAAACCAAATCTAGAATCGGAAGTGCTAGTAGTAGTTGGTGTTGCCAAATCAAAACCATAAATAGATGCATAATGATCATAAAGGTCTCCCAAAACAGATTTGCATTTGTTAATATATTCACTAACATCATAATCGATACTTAAACTTGTATAATAAAATTCTAAAAGATTTTCCAAACCTTCAGCTTTGACACCGGGGTCAAGAATAACAGCAATTCCATAAATGATTGGAAATTCACTAAAATAAGTATGCCACTTACGTTTCATGCTATCAAGAACGGGACGAAGTCCATCAATCTTCATATGCTCTTCGATGGTGTGAACAACTTTAACACACTCAATTATGACTAAATGAACGTTAGGCTCATAAATATAAGAGAAAATATGAGTTTCACTATCAAAAGCATTTAAAACATCACGAACAAAAGAAGCATTAGTCCAATGACTTTCGGTTATTAACTCAGTAGGATCAACACGAAATTGGTTTAAATTTTCCGTATTAATTTCATACGAAAAATTTGCACCACCACTCCTTTGGCTACCACTTCGACCACCACTTTGACTCCTTCCCATTCCTCCTCTTGAGCTCATTTTTTTTTTGTATGATTACTAATTATAATATGGAGAAGAACTTTTTTTTTTTAGAATCTTAAGAATACTAATAATAATATTAAGGAGATTTTTTTTAACAAAAATATAACTCTATATAACACTTGAGAATTTGAGAACAATAAGAATTTTTAAGTAAGAGAGAAAGAAAGCTTGAATTTGTGTGGAAATTTGAGTGAAATGGAATTGGTATTTATAGGAAAAATAGAATGGATGATCATACACTTAAAAAACTAGCCGTTAGATACAAAAAACTAGCCGTTAGATACAAAAAACTAGCCGTTTTTTTTTTAAAATGGATGTTAGGCCGTGCGGGCCGTGCGGGTCGTGCGAATTGTGCGGGCTGTGCGGGCCGTGCGGGTTGTGCGGGCCGTGCGGGTTGTGCCGGCCGTGCGGGTTGGGTGGGTCATGCGTGCGGGTTGGGTGGGTCATGCGTGCGGGTTAGGTGGGTTGGCTCGTGCGGGTTGGGTGGGTCATTCGTGCGGGTGGGCCGTGCGGGCTGGGTTGTGCCAGGTGGGTCGGGTTAGGTGGGTTCACGGGCTAGGTGTGTCGAATTAAATGAGTCAAAACGGGTTGTGCGATTTGGGTCGAATCAAACGGGTTAAACTGAGCTGGGTTGAAATGGGTTGTGTCGAAAATTTTGGACCCACGACACAACCCGGATTAAATCCGAGCTGTGCCGGGCTGTGCCGGATTGAAACCGGGTCGGACCCACGTGACCCACCAGCCGTGCGAGTTAGGGTGGGCTGGGTCCAACCCGGCCCACTGGCCACCTCTAGTGGCGGCTATGGTGGAGGGAAAAGGAGAGAAGGGCAGTGAGGGTTTTTGCTGGGTGTATCGAATGCAACAGTAAGTGAAGCTGAACGAAAATGAAAAAGGAAAGAGAAGGAAGAAAGGAGGGGGAAGGAAGGAGAGGAGAAGGCGGGTTTTTTTTTTTAAATGGCACCGGTTCACATTGGAACCGGTTCAAACCAGTAGCCTTTATATTTTTGCCACCGGTTTGAACTGAACCGGTGCCATTTAGCTGCCCCGGTTTGCACTTGCCATTTTTTACCCTATTTTGCCACTGGTTTGGACTGAACTGGTGGCAATATGGGGGTGCCTTTTTCATTTTTTTCTACTAGTGCCACAATCTTAGTGATTCATAGTTTTATACTAAAGTATAAAATATAGTCTTGTAGATACTTGCCTGAATCGTTTTATTGAATAATTTATTAATATTCGTTGTTTTAACTTTTATTTGATGATAATTAAAAATAGGAAATTTTAGAAAATAACACCACAAAAAAACAAAAATTTTGATAATAACACCACACACCAAAAAAAAAAAAAAAAAAAATATAAAAAATAACACCACAAAAAAAAACCAAAAAATTGATTTCACCACCACTTAACGTATTTTTGGATGGAATCTGTTAGTGGGCCCATAACAGACACGTGTCACTATCCTATTGGTTTAACCAAAAATTAATATAAAAAAAAAGAAAAAACCCTCAACAACCAAACCCAACCCAACCCCACCACTGGCACCACCTGTCCACCACCGCCGACAGGCTAACCCAAGAAACCATGAACCCTTGCCCCAGCTTGGCCTTGCCCCACCATCAACCACGTTATTCGCATCGAAAAACCCCCGCAACCACCTCCGCCACCATACACTAAGAATTCCACCCCTTACACCACTTCCGACACCCCTCCAGCCACCGAAAACCCCCTGCGACACCCCTTGAACCACTTCCGACACCCCTCCAGCAACCAAAAATCACGAAATTCGCACCGAACAACCCCAACTACCTCCTTTTCCCACTCAAAACCGACAACCACCACCATTTTTCTTCCATTTCACAACAAAATTAGCAACTAGTGGTCGAGATCGGCCAATTTAGGGTTGAATTTGACCACTCAGGCCCTAACCTGGCCGATTTCAACCACTAGTCGCCAATTTTGTGGTGGCTAGGGTTTATGGAGTTGCGAGCTGGGGTCTCAATCGCCGCGTCTGGTGGTCTTTAGGGTTTTCCGGGGTTAGTTAAGGAGGGTGGGGGTGGCTGGGTGGACACTGGTATGGCTTGGCAGCAGTGGGGGGTAGTGCCGGTGGTGGGATGTAGGGGCTATCGGTGGTGAGCTTCGTGGCTGGGCATAGGGTTCCTTTTTTTTTTTTGGTTTTTTTTTTTAAATTTTCTTTATCAATATATAAGTGACACGTGTATTTGGTGGGGTCCACAAACGGTTTTTTTTACGGCATCCTCTATGCGGTGGTGGAATCAAAATTTTTAGGTTTTTGGAGGTGTTATAATCAAAACTTTTTTATGTGGTGTTATAATTAAAATCGTGGCTTTTTTGTGGTGTTATTTTCTAATTTTTTTCTTAAAAATATTATTAATTTAAGTTTGTATTGATATATGTGCTAAACAAAACGTTGCACTTGTTGTAAAAAAAACATATGCACATGAGTATTTGTTTGTTTGTTTGATGTGGTTGAAGTAGAGAAGTGTACAAAACTAAATATAAACCACCAAAAATCGAACCCACATACTCAAATGATAGGGATGTAGGGGTTAAGGTAGCTCACATCCAAAAACAAGTCAAGCATAAAACAATCACCAACTTTATAATTGTTCTTTCTTTCCATTTATATTCCCAAATCACAAATCTCTCCTACTCTTACTCTTCTTGTTTCCTCTCTTTTTTCTACCTCCTTCTCTCTGTTTTACTCTGCTTTTGTTTTGGATTCCCATAAATAGTAAGTTTCTCATAAGAAGAATCACAGCCAAAAAAAAATGGGGCTCTTAGACCATGTCTTAGACTTTTGTGACGATGTTACCTTCCCGAAGCGTAAGAAACGTAAACCAATGCATGTAATTCTTTGTTTTGGCCTCGATTTTTACCTTCCTAAGTATTAATTGTCTTTCACATCGTCGCAATGGTATAGTATAAGTTTAGTACAACACTGAAAGTTGTCTCCGTTTAGTTTGTTTTTCAGCTCGGTTTCACCATCCTGTTATCTGTCTATGATATATGACAGTGGATGAGATTTGAACCTATGACCTACTTCTCATACTAGCTCGAGTATTAAGATTGGTTTTATATTCTATCAGTATGCTTTGCGTAAGGTTACATAGAAAAGCAATGATATGCATAATGACAATGACAATTGTACTGTGAAGTTTAAGTCTTTGGTAAATTCTCCCAATCTCCCCTTTGTTTTCAGCTCTTTTTTACCATCTGATGTTTTAGGTAAGATATCATAGCTTTGGTATGATGATCACAATAACAACGATTATTTCAACTAAACTGCATCTTTGTTCATTAACAGACAGTTGAGATCAAGGTGAAAATGGACTGTGATGGTTGTGAAAGAAGAGTCAGAAACGCTGTCACCAATATCAAAGGTACTTTTTTTTTTACCATTGTTTCCGTATAAAAATGTCAAAATATATGGTACTCATAATCAAGCTACAAATATAGCTACCAATAACTTCAAAAGATTGTGCGATTATTTTCATAATTGAAATATCAAAGATATATAGACTCCCTCCGCATTAGAAATGGGTCTCTAATAAAAGGGCAGAGGGATTAAGATTAATGAAACTCCTACTGGGAAAATTTAAGCGTTTAGTAAAGCTTTTGTAAAGAAAGCAAAGATTGGTTGTTTGGTTACCCAAAGAAAATGGGGGAAGTGGAAAATAATGGGAATTTGAAAATATATGAATTGTTTGGTTGACAATAAAAAGTGTAAATGAGGTAATTGCAAATTCATGAGAATTGTGACTTCCCACAAGATATGGGAAGTTAATTACCTAACCCCCCTAGGTAAGTCAAATTTCCCGTGAGTTGCTACTTCCCTCATGCCAACCAAACAACTTTATACAATTTCTATGATTTTGATGTAGGAATTTAATTCCCATGAAATACAAATTCCTATGGGAAGTAATTTCCCATAACAACCAAACGACACCTTTGTTATTAAATACAAGTATATGAAGCAGTCCATATAATCAAATTTGTGCCAAAAAAAATGGTGTATTTTGTAGTTGAGACAATGAATTTCTACAATCCCATGTCTAATGAGCACAAACTTGGTGGTTTAATGAGGGGATTTCATATTGCCTTTCGTTTTTAGACGGTGTGCTCTTTATGGTGGGAGTGTTAAAATCAATTATTTTTAATAATATTAAAATTAAAGAGCAAATATAAATGTGAAATTATAGAGCTTAAGTGAGTGTGTAAATAGTGTATAGTATGAGAAGTAAAATGGAGTTTTAAACAATAATAATAAAATTAAAGCATATAATTAAGTAATTGTGACATGAACATTTTGAAATGGCTTAAAATGAAAATAAAGTCAAACTTCGGGAACAGAAGCGATACTTCCTTGTTTGTTATATTACCGAGTATGAGCTTTTGACATTGATGGTTGTCAATGCTTAACTTAAACCGTATATATAAAATTATAAATTTGAAAATTCTAAAAAATCAAAAATTGAAAGTCTATATTAAGAAAATTTTAACATGATCACATATATAATTGTATTTTCCAATAAATATAATTTATTGAAGATAACCTAAATGACGTTTGAATAATGTAAAGAAGTTTACTTGAGTTACATCGGAGGAAGTACTTTGTAAGTAAGTAAGCAAGCAAGAACAACTTTTGAGAGAACTATATGACCACTTTCGGTATTCTACACTAAAGTGAGAACACGAGTGTCGAGTACTAGTATTTTCTAGTAGGGTATAAAAGTTTTATACTTTTTTTAACTTGTAAAATGATGCTAAGGTTCGAATCTTAGCCGCTTAGACGACAACCAAAAGTTTCTAACAGGACAATAGTGATGAATATCTGTTATATTGTTCATCAACATGGTTGACTTGTGTCATTATTAAAATAACTACTCAAACAAAAAGTCAATAAAAAGTTTAATATTGCTTTAATTAGTTAATGTATACTTCTTAGGGTAAATATTAACCTAGCACATGCATAAACTCGGTGTACCTAGTTATTTTAATATATTAATTTCTCCGTAAAAGCATTGATTTGATTTTCTATGTTTTGGCGTGTTTTATATTATTTACTAGCTCCGTTTTATATTATTTGCAACGATTTGACATAAAGTAGAGAGGGGAAAAAAAATCTAATCGTTACAAATAATATGAAACAAAAATAATATATTTGTTATTGAAATCATCCAAATGTGTGCTTGAATTTAAACTTAGTTATTTATATTATCGTGTGAATAGATAAAATAACCCGTGTGGTCGAATGAGTCCTGAAAAGTCCTATCACCATGTTGGATCAAGCCAACATCAACTTATTCCTTTATTTCAATTATTAGATGTTTGCTTGTCAATGGACTAATAATGTATACGTTTATGTTAATACAAAAGGTGTGAAATCAGTAGATGTGAACCGTAAGCAGAGCAAAGTAACTGTAACCGGAAACGTGGAGCCAAAGAGGGTACTTAAAATGGTGAAGAGCACAGGAAAAAGAGCGGAGTTTTGGCCATATGTACCATATAATTTGGTATCGTACCCTTATGCTCCTCAAGCTTATGATAAGAAAGCACCTACTGGTTATGTTAAGAATGCACCTCAAGCATTCGCTACCCCTGGTGATCTTGACGATAGATACACTTGGATGTTTAGTGATGAAAATCCTAATGCTTGTTCAATTATGTAATTAATTAATTAATTATAAATTCGTCATCGAATTATAATTGTAAGATTTTGGTATTAGCTAGCTTAGATCTGCATATATATAATCATGGTATACATAGCATGCATGTTCCGTAAGAGTGCGAGGTAAGATCTATGCAATGTTTAAGTAAGTGTATGAGAAATGTATTTAGATAGTGTTATTTAAAGTTTATGTATTTAGGACAACATTTTTTTTTTCTTTTTTTCATTTTTTACAGTTATAATTATATGACTTTGTATAAATCTCACCTACTATTTGTCCTTTTTGTTAGAGTATAAACCAATTTTAAGATTATAATCATTAGTAGGTAAAATTTTTATTTGAATTGATCATCTAACATGCATGATAACAAAAGTCAGCATGATAAGGAAATCACAAGTTCAAATCTCATCTTATTAAGTTTATTAGGAATTAAAAAAAATAAAAAAATAAAAAAAAAATTGAGAAGAACTAAAATAAGTTTTAATAAGGTCTAATAAGTTTTCTCAAGTATAAATAAAGGGAAAAAAGTTTAAATAAGTTTAGATAAATAAAAATTAGGTAAATAAAACACACCTTAAAATAAGTTTGGAGTATTTGGATCTGGATTTAATAGGTTATTAAGTTACTCAGCACATCTAATCATCACATAAGGGTCTGTTTCGATTAACTGAATTGGACTAAACTGAACTTATTGGAGCTAAACTAAATTTATTGGAGTTGAATTGAACTGAACCGAATATTTTATTAGAGAAGGAAATTAAGATTAGAACTAAACTGAACTTATTGGAGCTGAACTAAACTGAAAATAAGCGGAATAGAACAAGCCCTAAAACAAATTTTAAAACACTATAAAATGGAAAGTTAAGAACATTACTTGTTTACCTAACTCAAAATATAGGTATTAAATCTTCAAGAGTTAGCATAAGTGTATAGAATTCATTCATATGGTGAATCTAATGTATTTGAAACCAATACATTTTTCCTTTTGTTTTATTTTTATTTTATAAATACTCTTTATTACGTCATTCATTCATGCACAATAATTATTATTAGTAGTTTTGTATTTTTTTTCTTTGTTTTCTTTTTTAATTTGTTGGTTATACGTTAAAATACTTCATAAATAATTGGAGCTAATGTAATAATTTTGAACAGCCTCATATTATGACTTATCCTCACTTTAAAAAATAGTTTTCATAACTGATTGAAATAAATCTTAATCAGTAAATAAAGTCTTCAAAAAAAAAAAAAAAAAAAAATAATTGACCGATAAATTAAATTATATCAGTAAAATAATTTAATTCAAAAATAATCTTACTAAAAACACGAGTTTAATTGTGTCTTCTGACCTATAGATATCACAATTAATTACATCTTCACGCTTCATTGTTTATTAACCTTGGTATTACAATATTAGTAGTCTACCAAACTATCCAAGTTGAGAATTTTCAATATTATCGTAGAAGTTTAATAATAAAATCAAAGTAAACACATTCGTAGAAGTTTAATAAATAATTAATAATAAAATCAAAGTTATTGTGATAAGAAAACTCTTCTCCGTGATTTGAGTCGTGGTATGAAAATAAGATGTCCACTTGTATTACTTGAAGCTCAAGTAAAAGGTTAATAAACAAAATACCGAGAGTAGAGATGTTGAATACCACCGTGTCATAGTGTTATTTGTGTCGTCTCTTTCAATATAATTCGATCTTTTTAATTCAATCTGTTTTTCAGCCGTCAAAAAATATTTGTGTTTATCGACAATCAATAACCAATTATTTCAAAGGGTGATGAATCTACGCTCCCATATCATAATCATGTTTCTTGCTATTTAAGTATAGTATATTAATTAATTAACCTCATCGATCCATCTCTACCTCGAGTTAATAGTTGCATATTTTTTTCGCCTTTTGTTATTGTAACGCTTTGAATTTTATATTGTATTGCTATAAATTAGTTATTGTATGTGAATTATATATTTAATAGAAAATTTCCATTTGTGATTTTATCAGTAATAACAAATATTAATAGTTGAAAATACTATAATAAATACAGAAAAGATTAACAAAATTCGCTTAGATCAACAAATTAAATTAATTAACAAGAACTAACATAATTCTTATGTGTTTATCGCAAAAAACTAACCAATAATTGAGGAGGAATAATGAATTCACATACCCAAATCATGTAAAAGAACTAACTACCAATTGCCTTGGTTGTTAGTGCAGTGATGATTGAGATTACACTTGGTAGAAAAGACCCGCGTATGATCCCCCACAATAACAATTCACTACAAGAAAAAAGATCAAAGAGGGTGATATACATTGATCAAGGAGGGCGAGTTTAATTTTGCCTTGTTAGTTTCTATCAAGGAGGGCGAAATAATAATTGCCCTTTTATTACAGAGCAAAGAGGGCGAATGTTACTTTCGTCTTTGTACTTCAAAGCAAACAGGGCGAATTAATTTTTCGTCCTCTATAATAGAGCTAAGAGGGCGAATTCACAAAATCGTCCTCTATAATAGAGCAAAGAGGGCGAATTTCATTTTCGCCCTCGTTGTTCAATAAAATAAATCAACAAAGTAAACGTTTTGGCTATTTTACAAAACAAAAAAGAAACAAATAGGGCGAATGTTACTTTCGTCTTTGTATTTCAAACAAACAGGGCGAATTCCATTTTCGCCCTCGTTGGTCAATAGCAAAAAGGGCGAATTCCTTTTTTGCCCTCGTTGGTCAATAAACATTTTAACAAAATAAAACAAAGGTTTTTCTCTATTAAAACAAAAGGACATAAGAAATTAAACGTTTAAGCAAATATAAACGTTTGTTTAAACAAAAGTTTTTCCCCAAAATATGCATGAACCCTAAATCGCAAATCGCTAATCTATGATTCTTCGCTCTATTTTTTCTACCTAATTCTTCGCTCTAATTCTTCACTCCTAATCCTTGCTCTTAAGGTTCAGATTCATTGCTCGAAGTCGGTCAGATTGCAAGTCAGATTTCGCTCCAAATCATTGCTCGAAGTCGCTCTAATTGTGTCGCAAAATTTTGGTAAATTTTGGCTCAAAACTATGTGATTAAGCTTTTGATTTGTACGAATTTGTTGTTCTCGAAATCCTTGCTCTTAATTTGTTGATTTTTTTTGTCAATTTGTTCCTGCATGTTAGTATTGCTCTACATTTGTCAATTTTTTTTGTCAATTTGTCGATTCTGCAAGTTTTTGGGAGTTGTTATTTATGCTAGTAATGTCAGATAGATTATGGAGAAGCAAATCAGAATTATTCGTATTTTATCAGTGGTTTATCGATTTAATTGCTTAAATGATCGTATGAGCTATTGATTACTGTGAATTGGGATAATTGTAATTTGTTTTGATTACTATGAATTGTGATAATTGATAACTCTATCTGATAGTATTATACTAGCTAGTAGTGAGCCAGTAAGGTAATATTCTTTTGCCAATTTGTTGATGATTACTATGAAGCAAGTTAAGAATAAATGCAGTTTATGTGATAGATGATTACTAATAGTATGGAATATCATTGATGATTGAATTGGTTTACTCAGACATTTTTTATTTATGTTCAGATTATGTTATGGGACAAATAAAATGATTCGGTTAGAGATGGATTCTTGGTGTGACTTAAGGATACTTGTACTTTATGACTTTTATGCTTAATTTGATTAAAACACTCTTACTTAAAATAGTCCCTTCTAATCTAATTATATAAGCCCTTTGATGAGTTGCTACTTTATCAATTCAGGAGAATTAGGTTGCATTAGTCAACTGCTAGATAGTCTGCTACATGCCAATTACCCCAATAACTAGTATTTTATCATATCTATTCATATAATTTTATAACTATTTTGTCTACTTATGAACTTATAATATACAAATTTATTGGTTCCATTATTTAGCTAGTAAGATCCAGATGTCTAACTTGTATATATAAAGAATGTTATTGCCTTGGCTTTTGGGAGGACTTTCACACTTTTTTCTTTTATTAACATGGACAAATAAAATGATTCAGTTAGAGATGGTTTCTATGGCTATTATGCTTGTACTTTATTATGCTTAATTGTGTATGTCCAGTTTCAGTAGCATAATGTCCATATGTGGAAATTTTTATGTCAATTTGTACTTTTGTTTCATTAGATTATTGGTCAACTTATTTATGTTGCTATAATGTTGCGTTTTATTCCACCCATCCCTTGTATCAACTTATATATTGTTTTATGTAATATAGAATGGATAATGATAGAAGTTGGATGCATGTTCAAGGGTTGAAAGGTAGGCTTCAACCAAGTTACCGAAATGGTGTTAAATACTTTCTTGATTTTGCTTTCAAGGACACTAACCCTAATTCTGGGGATAAGAAGAGGTGTCCTTGTTTGAATTGTCGAAATTACTTTGACCATGACCGATCGACAATGCGTGTTCATCTTCTTCGAGTGGGAATAGACCCTGATTACAATCCATGGGTATTCCATGGAGAGGAACAATCCCTTGACATCGGTGAGATGGAGATGTCCGAGGAGGAAGGTGATGAGTTATATGATGAAGATCCTCTTGTATCAGAAGAGATGACTTCTTTGGTACATGATGCGACAAATGTAGTGCGGGAGGAGCACGATGGGGATGAAGGGGGTGGAGATTGTTCTGAGATTCCCTATAAGTTTTATAAATTGATGAAAGATGCAGAAGAAGAGCTATTTTCGGGTTGTAAAACATTTTCAAGGCTTGAATTCATTGTAACTCTCTTACACCTTAAGGTTAGTGGGGGTTGGAGTGAGAAATCATTTAGTGGGCTCCTAAGTGCATTACAAAAGGCCTTTAATTATGACCCAAACTTTCCAAAAAGCTCTTATGAAGCCAAGAAGTACACAAAAGACCTCGGGTTGAATTATGTGAAGATTCATGCTTGTGTCAATCATTGCATACTTTATAGAAAAGAGTATGAAAATGCTGATTCATGCCCTATTTGTGAGGAGTCAAGATGGAAGGAAGGTAGCAATGAATTTGATGATAGTGTTACCTTCTCGGAATCTCAAGGGGCCTCACAAAGAATGCCTAAGGTACCGCGTATGGTTCTACGCCATTTTCCTTTAGTGCCAAGGCTTCAAAGGCTTTTCATGTCATCGAAAATTGCAAAGCACATGCGATGGCATAAAGAGAGGCAACAACTTGATGACAACATATTAAGACACCCATCCGATTCAATGGCATGGAAGAAGCTTGATGAATCATTTCCAGAGTTTTCAATCGATCCACGTAATGTGAGATTAGGTCTTTCGACTGATGGTTTCAATTCCGGTGGACATTTTGGCGCTAATTACAGCATTTGGCCAGTGTTTTTGGTGCCATACAATCTTCCACCATGGATGTGCATGACAAGTCCATACATCATGTTGTCACTCCTAATTCCTGGTCCCAAGTCTCCTGGAATGGATATTGATGTGTTCTTAGAACCATTGATTGATGAACTTCAAGAATTATGGGAAGTTGGGGTGAAAACTTATGATTCACATAGTCGCCAAAACTTTACAATGAAGGCAGCCCTATTGTGGACAATGAGTGATTTTCCTGCTTATGGAAATTTGTGTGGTTGGAGTACTTGTGGTAAACTTGCTTGTCCATCATGTCACATAGATACCTCACACAAGAGATTGAAGCTTGGAAAGAAAGAATTCTTTGATGCTAATCGTAGATTCTTGGATCCCGATCATAGATGGAGAATGGATAGAAAATCATTCAATGGAGAAACAGAAAGACGACCACCTCCTATCCCTTTGTCGGGGGATGAGATAGTAGAAGCCTTTGATGGTGTTCCGAATGTGATATTTGGGAAGAAGAGAAAGAGAACCAAAAGATACTTGTTTGGCCAATGGAAGAAGTTTAGTACCTTCTTTAGACTCCCTTATTGGAGTAAGCTTTTGGTAAGGCATAACTTAGATGTGATGCATATTGAAAAAAATATTTGTGATAGTATCTTAGCAACTGTACTTGATATTCCTAATAAGACAAAGGACACTTTGAACGTACGAAAGGATTTGTTGAAGTTGAACATGCATGAGAAATTGAGACCTATCAAGATAGGTGATAAATATGCCATTCCTAGAGCTCCTTATCAATTGACATTGCTTGAGAGGCGTAGAGTATCGGAGTGGTTGTCTAAGGTTAAAGTGCCAGATGGTTACTCTTCTAACATAGCTCGATGTGCAAGTGTAGAAGATGGAAAAATCTCGAACATGAAGAGCCATGATTGTCATGTTTTTATGCAAGATTTGCTTACACCGGCATTTCAAGGCATTTTGCCTAAGCAAGTGTTAGAACCTTTGGTTGAGCTAAGCTTGTTTTTTAAGCAATTTTGCTCCAAAACTCTAAAAATTGATGTGTTGGAGCGATTGGAAAAGAGTATTGCAATAACTCTTTGTAAGCTTGAAAAGGTGTTTGTTCCATCGTTCTTTGATATTATGGTTCACCTCCCAATCCACTTGGCTACTGAGGCCAAGCTTGCTGGGCCAGTGCAATATCGTTGGCAATATCGATTTGAAAGGTAATCTTATAGCTCATCTACATTAATATGTGATTGTTTAATTTGTGGCATCATTTAATAAGGTTTTTTCTCATAGGGAAATGTACATTAATATGTGATTTGAAAGGTTGAAGGCCGACTATTTTTCAAATCGCAAATCTTTATTAGAGGCGGAGCATGCTTGCCCACCTTCAATAAAACTTGAACAATGGAAGTGGCTTGTTTATAACTATTGGAGCTCTCCTAAACAAAAGGTAAGTTATGGGAATGCTCTTGTAATCAGAATTCTGCAAAGAAGATTGTTTTCTTCCCCTTTACTAATCCTATATGTTGTTTTGTAATCTGTAGGAAAGGAGCGAGAAGAATCGGGCAAATGCTCTTGCAAAGAAGATCAAGTCGGCATGTGGTGCGAAATCAACAGCTCGCATAATTTATGAATTGGTGAGTATAAGTTATTGTTAATGTCTGTCTCTGTCTCTGTCTTAGCTGAATCTGTTCTTGGCTGAATTTGTCTCTGTCTTAGCTGCTGTGACTCTGAAACTCTGCTGACTTGATCTTACTAATGTACCGCATTACAGCTAGACTAATTTATGAATTGGTGAGTATAAGTTGTTGCTCTTATGCATGACACTCCTAAATAAATTATGAAAATAGTCAAAGTAAATCTAGGTAGTTTGTAATCTAGGTAGTTTGATGTTGTAGAATTAAGCAGTTTCAGATTGTATCAGAAAACAGAAATTAATAAGTGTATGTATATGATTTGATAGGAACTTGAGGCGCAAGCTTGTGAAAATGAGAATGAGGTCACCGAAATTAATGGTTCTAGTTCAAACGTCACCTCATCCCAAGCTAAAGATGATCCCATGTATTTAAAGTTATGGGAGAAGTCAAAGAGGTATATTGAATATTTGTCTAATGCACGAACACTTCATTTTTCTTTATACTAAAATTCTGACTTTGTTTTATCTTGTAAGGCATAAAAATGGGAAGTTTGACGATGAGGCCGAGGAGAAGTTCAAGGAATTAAAGGAGTTGCATGAGAAGGAAATTGGTGAAAAGGGGGTTGATAATCTTACTCTTGAAGAAGCTTATGTGAAGGTTCTTGGACATCGTTCAGGTTATGCCCGAGGTTTAGGCAAAGGGCACCCGGTGTCATCTAAAGATGGAAAGATAGGAAGAGCTGAGCTGGAACAAAATGTTGAAAAACTACAAAATGAAAATAATATTATGCGAGCTGAATTGGAAGCGTCTAAGAAGAAACAAGAAGACCTAGAACAAAAGCTTCGGTTAATCATGGAGAAGATTGGCCTTGATGCTTGATAAAGGTAATATTTTATACAAAGTATCTTTTTCTACTTTGATATTTGGGTGTTTTTGTATCATATCAAGTGTGGTCTGATTTTTTTTAGCTCCGAGTAGTTGCCTCTTATAGTAATCATAGTCATTATTCATCATCAAGTTCCTACATTGCTACTAATATATTCTTATATTAATTTACATTCAGCTTGTTTCTGTCATGTTTGCAGTTAGGGGATCAAGTCAGTGTGCTGATGTTTTGGGGATGGAGGACACCAAAGGCTGGTTGCATTTCTTGGATGGAAAAAGGGGATGCTTGAAGATGCAAGGATGAAAAGATGTCCTAGAATTATTAAATAATTGCTTTTTGGAAAACTTGGTTAATACTTTTGTATATATAATGACAAAATTAGAATATATAATGACAAAATTAGAATTTATATTAACTAAATGTCCTAGAATTATTAAATACTTTTTTTTTTTTTTTTTTTTTTTTGAGGCAATTAAATACTTTTGTTAATACTCCTAGAATTATTTTTTTAAAAAACTAAAAATTGAACAAAGAAGGCGACTTTGGTTTTGCCCTTTAAAATTTGATCAAACAGGGCGAAATTTGAGCAAGGAGGGCAATATCAATTGACTTGTTTGAGTTGTTTTCGGAGGGCAAAGAAACATTTCGTCTTGCTTGATTCAATCAAAGAGGGCGAAATTTTTGTCCTATTTGATCTTGATCAAAGAGGGCGTTTTTGCCCTATTTAATTTTGATCAAAGAGGGCGAAATTTTTGCCCTATTTGATTTTGATCAAAGAGGGCGAAAATTTTTGCCTTCTTTGATATTTAACAAAGAGGGCGAAAAAAATTTGTATGCCCTTTGAAGCTAATAGGACGAAGCTAATAGGGCGACTTGGGGGCGATTTTAAAATCGCCCTCTTTGCCTAATAGGGCGAAATTTGAACCTAAGAGGGCGATTTAAATTGCCCTCTTTGATATAATATCTTGTAGTGATTGGAAGAGACTAGAACCTAACCACCCACAACTTATCTCCGAATCCAGATTAGCCCAAAAAGTGAACCGGGTGTAACACTAAAAAAAGAAAAAAAGTAAAAGAACTAACTAACTTCATTGCTCCCTTGGATTAATTGTCACGTATACTTTAGTTCCTTCGATTTTTCTAATTGCTACATGTTAAAGTTTATACTATTACATACACATACTTGATTATCTATAATTTCAGACGTAAGAGTATACTTTATGGAGTTTTTCCACAAACATTTCTGTGTAAGCCATGTCGATGCAAGATTGATAGCCACAAAATAGGCTGAATTCTATACGTTTACAATGATATAAGCAAGTAGTAATATTCTTTCTTCATCTTATTATTTTACTTTATTTGGGTATATATTCAAAAAGATAGAAGAATAATATTTTTGAGACCACCCTACTTTTTTCTACCATCTTCTTTAGCTAGCTAAAAATCTCTTTTTTGAACTAGCTTTACTTAATCAGATTTCAAAAGGAAGCCTTAAACCAAGATGAAGCTTCGACCACTTTTTGCTTAATTATTCTCCAAATTAAATTGATTGTCTAGTGGATCATGTACTGATGAACCCATTGTAGCCCACTTGTGAGTGTCCTAATTTGGAGAAAAAGAAGAGGTGGTTCTACTTTATAAGGCAGATGAGTAACCGTCTACTATTGCCAATTGGTTTTAGTATGGAAGCTCCTAAGCCTTGTTTGTGGACCAAACTCTTCTCCTCCTCCTTGTTCAGATTGCCCATGCCAATTTCATATTATCTCAAAATTTAATATGGTATTAGAGCCCGATTCGATTCTTTTCTAAACTGGATATTTAATCACTACTGGATAAGGATTTATCTCAACAAGATGTCCAGCCCCTAAGAGAATTATTGATATGGCCTTATGCAATTGGCTCTTAGCAAAATCAAACTCTTTTTTGCTAGCTTGACAACTTGTCTATACCCATCCTATTAAATGCGTAGGACTTGCCTCCTTGTACAAATTTTTACCTACATTCCACGATAGGGAACACTGCCTGCACCCCCCTACCCTCTGTGCGTGCCCTACCCCGCCCCTTTTTATTTATGAATTTCCAGCAAATTTTTATAACATGTTCATTTTTGTATTGGTAGTTGTCGACTACGGACGACTATGTTCGACTACGATAAGAAATTAAATCTAAACCATTGATATTTATTCATCTAATCCTAGCCATCCAATCTAACACCTATGCTACACAGTCATCAAGATCTTGTTTGGTTACTAAATAATTTTTTTAACCACATGAAATTTATTTGAACTAAAATCGAAAAAAATAGCAAATTTTAAACGTATCATTTCCAACTTAAATAATCTTTTACATCAAAATTGAACTTAATCATCAACCTATGTCATCTTCTTCCTTACGATAAATTTGTTCAAATATTATGTAGATTAAAATAAACTTTAAAATTGTAGTATTAATCGAGTTGCGGTATTTATTTCGAGATTCGAATAACATTTATTTTAGTATTAATTAAAACGATTTTGTGCTTAATTTTGATATATTAATCCGCCATTCTTAAATGTTGAAGATACATACAGTATCTTTGTAATGTAGAAGTATATAAGGTTGAAGATGGCTAATATTATTGTAAAATATTTTTTACAAAAATCTATTCATTAAGTGCCTTTTTTGGGAAACAAGTTATTATAATCTTGATTAAGAGGCCTTTTTTGGGGAAATATATTATAAGATATTTTCCTAAATATAATTATAGGTTTTATGTCTAATCTAGTAATCTTCCATTGATGAATATTTTTTTTAGGGGTGCCATTGATGAATATAAGTAAATGATTATCCTGTCAAAATGCTTAGCAGTTATTTTCATAATTAAAAAAACAATTAAAGATTCATCCCATTGATTTTCTTAAAAAAAATGAAAAATTATACGTGATAAGTCTGGTAACACAAACTTTTAAATAAAACGGATGTTCAGTAAATTACTGAACATCCGTTATAAAGTGACAATAAAATGTGCAAAAGTTACACTAAAACGCACAAAAGTTACCGTGACATATATAAGAGTTATTTATGCTTTATTGATAAATTTGACAAAAGTGACACTAAATTTGACAAAAGTGACACTAAATCTGACAAAAGTGTACCCGATGTATAGTAAATTACTGAAAATCGGGTGTATACAAAAGTTTTCCGTCTGGTAATTGATATGCGTGATCATAGGAAAATCTTGAGAAATTCAAATTTATCAATATGATAAACAAAATTTGTTTATCAAATGGCAAAATTGTAAATAAATCAACAACTTTTTAGTAAATTTGGGTCCCACTATTGTTGATATATTTACGAAAATGTCATGATGACTGGGCATTTATGTTGTTTTATTTACCATTTTGTCATTTGATAAACAAATTTTGTTTATCAAATTGATTAACTGGGGCTTCCTCGAAAATCTTTTGATCTCCAATACTCCACTAGCTTTGCCTAAGATAAGATTATAAGATTTTTGTTATTAGATTATTTTACTTACTTTCTAAATCAAATGATGGTGTAATTTAATTTATACATGATGGTGTAATTTTATTTATACATTAAAGTAACATATATTTTTAATATATGGAATAATATTGGTTTCAAAAAATTAATATATGTATCAATATTTTTACTTCTTTTTTTTTTTTTAACTATACATACATTAAACAGTGTGTTTCTGGTGCGGCAGGGTGCCCTATTAGTAACCCCTAAAGTAACCGCATATAAAACTTTGTGTACATTAAAATACAATGAAATATATTGGAAATTTCAAATAATTCGACATATAAATTTTTTGAATAGATTTTTTTTTTTATTGAAAGCAAATACATTTAATTTTTAGTTATTTTTAATTTTAAAAATACAAAGGTCCAATTTTTATTTTTATTTTTATTTTTTGCATTAAAGTTAAACTGTAATATAAGGTTAATGTTCTTGGAAAAAAAGAGGGGGTTGGGTTCCCTTCACCGTAAATTAATAATATCTATACTTATATACTAAAGTATTCCTCGTAGTTATCCCCTAACTACACATCGGATCACCTCATAATAAATTTTCCCGTCCAAAAAAGTGTTTTTTTTTTTATTGAAATAAGTTTGTTATATTGCATGGAGAAGTTTAGGGCCTGTTCATATTTACTGATCTAAGCTGAACTGAACTGAACTGAACTGATTGGAGCTGAACTGAACTAAACTGAACTGAACTGAACTGATTGGAACTAAACTGAACTGAACTGAACTAAGTTGAAATGAATATTTTATGAGAGAGGGAAATTAAGAGCTGAACTGAACTGATTGGAGCTGAACTGAACTGAACTGAACTGAACTGATTGGAGCTGAACTGAACTGAACTGAAAATAAGTAAATATGAACAGGCCCTTAGTCTTTATATTTAGAAATGATATGCCAAACGATAATAATTTAAATAAAATTAAAAAAAAAGTGCTACAAAATAAGAAATGTTATGTAATAATATAAAATCCTACTTAGGATATTATCAAAAAGTATTATTAAACTTATGATATATCATAGTGTTTATTGTACTTTTATTTTTATTTTATATTTTTTACTTCTAATGATTTCGTTTTGTACCGTTTCTAATAAATGAATACTGAACTAATTTGGTTTCTTAGATGGAAAATTTGCCAATTATTACCGCGTATTAATGTCATTTTGAAAATTACTATCACAAACTAAAAATCTTGTAAATTACTACCCTAATTTTTTTTAAAAACTTGATTTTACTACTAGCCTCCCCTTTAGACCATATATGACGTCATCCTTTCCCTTAACCCGCGTTTAACTCTTGATTAACCAATTAAACGGCCTAAAAAAAATAAAAAAAATTCCCCCTAACTCATGTTTCCCAAATATAATTTAGGTATACCCAAATTGGGAAACATTATATACACCGTGATCTATGTTTTAGACAAGGATTGTTATGTAATAGGTAATGTTTTGGCCTAGGATGCATGAACACTTCATCTAACTGTCGTGTCTATATCGGACACCGTGTCGGACACCAACACTCGTGGAATACACGACGATACGTCTCAAAACGTATCCTACTATGATATGGGTTGTTCAACTTTTTTTTAGTGAAAATTTTTAAATAAACTAAAATAAATAAGGTAATTATTAAATAATATGAGTGCCTTCATATAAATATCTCATTGTTAATATGATCTAATGAGTGCACGGAATGACAAAAATATGGTCAAATTCTTTTTTGTAAAATATATTATATGAATTTTATCATTCCGTACATGTGTCCCTTTTTTGAGATAAACGTTTTTCCGTATCCGTGTTAGTACTCAGTCTTGTGCAACCTAGGTTTTGGCTAAACGCCTATTTCAGCATCTAAAATTGGTCATTCAATTTTAATAAGAGCCGTGATAAGTTAATAAGACCTTGGTTAGATAGAGTGCCGATAA